CTACTACAACTACGGTACTGAATACAAATCAACAAAACTAATCTATAACAATGAACAGAAAGTGTTGATACATAACAGTAACAATGATATGATACTTATTTCATAAGATACTCAACATTCACATACATCTTCAAATACTCATTTTTAGTATATTTATATGTACACATTAGAAAACAAATAATCAATAAGATGCTTATGAGAAAAGTTTCAGTGATATTCAAACTTGGTTAGAGAACTACTAAGTACATTCGTGCCAGGCTTACACATTAGAAAACAAAAATTCATTAATCCCATATCAATATTATGACAGCAAAAATATTTTATATGAACAATTTTAAAATTTTACATACAGATATATAAAAATAATTAGGCCTTCGAACCATAACAAAACAAAACAAAAATATTTCTAAAAAACAAACATTTTCTTGGTAAACCATTTCAGGTTATGCATTAGCACAATGTCTAGTTCCCACTAAAATAAGTGATGTTTTAAGACCATATCTTTGGAAATATCTTATTTCACAACAGTTGTTTTTAGTTGGAGAATGAATACATTTAATTGAACATTAAATCAAAAAAAGAAAAAAAAATTCAACACAATGTCAGATCTTGAGGTCCATGAAACAAGTGAAGTGACCTGAAAGTCCAGGAAACAAGTAAAGTAACCTGAAAATCCTTGAAACAAAAGACCTGGCTAAACAGGCTCATGGAACAAGTGATGTGACCTAAATGTCAATGAAACATATTAAGTGATCTAAAGGTCCTTAGCAGAAGTGTAGTGACTGATGCTTACTTTCCTATCAACAAAACTAAACTTAAATACAGAACAAGTAAACTTTAGAGAAGAAATGAAACCCATGACCTTCAACCAGGCAAATGAATACTCCACACAATGTTACCAATACAAGTATTAAAAAATTAATTATTATAAATGAGTTCCAACAAGAGTTAATGCACTGCAATCTAAACTATCTTTTAACAGATGTCTAGTACATGTCACTAACTGTAACAAATGAGTGTATACTGCTAACAAACCTTAGCATTATGGAGATTTAAACTAGAGAATTGCCAGGTAACATGAAAGAAAGGAGCATACTTTTGTAGACAATAACATCTTTTAATCATTGGACTTTTCAAGTGGATTAAAAATTCCAAGACTGATGAGATTTCAACAAGAATAGTTCTTTGTTACCACTACTGTTCATCAATGAAGAATAGACAATGAAAACTAGAAGAACAGCTTAGCCATGTTTAGAAATATTGCCATACCTGGTAAGTCACAGCATTTTGAATGCTATGCGAAATGTCTATCACAATGTAATATCTCATTTTAAAAAAAACATCAACATTTAAGCCACACTTGTGTAATAAAATGTACACAAATCAGTTGATAACAGACTTAGAGTAAATTAACTGTGGAGGGACTAGATATTAATCTATTCTAATGATGCAGATGAAAGCACAGAAGAAACTACTGATAAAAGAGCAAATAATTACAGCCAAGAATAAATACTAGCATTATGTTAGTGGTCCTACATCCTAACATCTACGTGTCATGGGCTCTAAGCAGCTACATTTTAATGCCATGTGTAAATGTCTCTTCATAAAAAAAGTTAATGACATGACCTAGATTTATTATAAATATTTAAAAGAAAATAGTGTTTTTTTCCATTTCTATCAATGTGAAGTGTAATGATTTATTATAGAATTCATTTCATCTTTATCTGTTTTTTTTTTAAGTGATAAGCTTTGTGAACAAAAAGACCGCTAAATATTTTTTTAAAGGTAGAGATAAAGAATACTATTGATTAAGAGTAAGATCATTTAGGAAATAAATTCAATATTTTCTATTGCCCAATGTAGCACTGGTTTTTGGTTTGAAATCTAGGACAAGACCAGTTTAAGTCAAGGTTAAATTATGTGACCACCTCCATTGACTGAATCTTTTATTTTTGAGGATACTAAGTAATCATTCCACTTTTCTCCAATATGAACTTGCCAAAGCATTAGTGAACTAAAAGTTGTGGTCTATTCTGAGCAGTGCTTTTTTTTTTGTGTAAACAATAGGTGATTAGGTGCCAGTACTCAGTAGTTGATTGCCTAACTTTTAACTACTAAAAATTAATAATATACATTAAAATACAAGAAAAGTAATAATGTTTTTAAAAAGGTGTCGGTACTCGTACTGGTGCATACCATCACAAAAAAAGCCCTGATTCTGAGATGCAATAAAATAAGAGCTATTGTTCTAACCATAGACATAAATAAATATAGACTGGCCGATTAAAGAGTTTTATAAAACGAAAATTTGTGACTTGCAATTTTGTGTACTTTATTATACAGCATTTAGGAGCAGGATAAAGGTTAAGTATTCATATCTATTTCAGCCACACACCTATATATATTGTAAATAATGAAGCAGTGTAGTTTTGTTTAATCTCTAAGAATGAAGATCATGCAATTTTTCATAATTCAGAAATCTGAATACAATAGATATACATGATTTCAAGTTACATGAAGTTATTTCCTTCGACCAGTCTATATTTATTTATGTCTATGGTTCTAACACAATGTTGTCAGTGCTTAAAGGAAGTGACACCTGTTTTTGTACTAACTTTGCTCATGAACAATGTCACAAGGAAAGAGATGCTATTTTTCTCATTATTTATTTCAGTAGATTTTTGTATGTTTATGTTTTGCCCTGATTCAAATTCAGCATAGCTTGAAAATAATCTTCAAATGAATTAAGAACACAAGCATTAGTGTATGTCTGACTTAGTTTAGCTTGTGATGAAATCTTTTTCATAAAGCTTTTCTCTCGATAGTCTCTTATTTCTTCTGGTAAATACCAAATCCCCTTGTCCAATAAATCTTTTGAAGCAGGAATTTGAAGCAGAACTTTGACTGTATTGTTGCGGTGCTCCAAATAAATTCTCAGAGATTCCACAGGACAATATGGGCCTCCTGTGGCTTCAAATATTGTGACCTGGTTACAATTTCCAAGGCCACATGTATTCCAAGTAACAGTAATCTTACCTGACTGATTTCGAGAGAAAAAGAAATGATCCACCAAAACTTTGCTCCAATCAACTTTGCTTCGGAAGTGCATCTGGAGTTCAAACCAAACTTTATAAAGTAGTGCCTCAGGGTTGGCACAGGACAAAGTGCCAGTTGTGTACATCAAAATTATATCCTGAACAGAAATTGTTTTGTTTACTTTGACTGCTGTAGCCATCAATCTAGCCAGAACAGCATTAGAATTTTTAAACGTATGACTCACTGCAATACTAGTCTGTCTGGCACACTTTGTATTCAGATAACGACTGATGGCTGTTCTAAAAGCAAGAAGAGCAGTAGCTGAGAATGGTGATCCATCTTTTTTTTGACTGGATGTGTAGAAGCCCAGGAACATTTGATCCAGTTGTTCATCTGTGAACTGTTCAAAATTTATGTTCATGCCATGAAGGGCCAGCCATTCTGGTTAATAAAGATAATTGATTTTCATTGTAATTTTGTATTAAATCAATACATTTTATATATTTTGTTAAAGTTAGGAAATATGACCTAAAAAAAATAGAAGCGAAATTTATTTTTATAAATTCTGGTTTTTCTTTAAAAGTGGACCATTTCATTATAATTATTATGATTGATTCTCAGCTAACTGTTTATGACCCAACCATAGGGCTTCTCAGTTTTTCTACTGTCCTAATTAGAAGCCATATTTTTTTTTTAAATTCGAAAATTTTGAAGCTAAAATTCCATTTTATCTTACATAACAAGTATTTATAACATGAAGAATATTTGTGATGCTAATCATTGAAACCACTCACCAAAATAAAAAAAACTTTTGACTAACATCAACTCTAATGTTAAATAGACACTACAAAATAGACTACATTTTACCTCTAGCCCTGGCTATTGCCCATTTAGTCTGTCTCTGTGTGTGAAGTAACTCCTGTCCTCTTGCTTTGGGAGAGTTCTGGAGCGACAGACGAGGCGATACTGTCATGTCAAAGACTGGTGCAGATGGCGACGATGGGGACATATGGCGATTGTTCAAAGTACGGGAAGGAAAAGCCAGCAAGGCTGAAATGGGTGGAGGAGCAGTGAATGAAAGCTCCACTCTGGCTCCAACAAAAGTTTACACAATAATAATGTTTGTAGTGCAAATGTCACAATTTGTGTAAGTGAAATAATTATTAGTGGTGGTAAGTTTTCATTATTTAAATATTTGCATAGCTGGTGCTTGTAAACATATAATAATACAACAGAGTGTATTCATTTTCCTGATATACCAAGTTAATTCTAACTACTTTTCTTGTATGCTTTTTTTTCTTCTCCAAGAAATGTTTTTGGACAATGTATTTCCTCTAAATAAGTAATCTAAGTTTATAGATGGTATACAATTCAGTAGTTCACAAAGACATATTAAGGGCACATTCAATACATTAAGCCAGAACAAAGGAATAATAATTGATAATAAAATATTCAAAACTGAGTAAAAAAAAAAAGATTTAGTAATATGGATTTAAAGCGTGATTTAAAAGAATAATAATTACCAGTAATTTGAAAGAATTAATTACTGTATCACCTCAATAAAATTAACACAACCTAAAAAAAAAAATTAAAAGGTGAAGACTTCTGTCTTTGTTTGAAAGCAAGCCATTTAGTAAGGTATGTAATATTCAATCCCTCTACCTAAGTGGAATGGTGTTTGTTTGGTTCATCACACATGCATTCCTAGATTGAAATAACATTAACTATGGTTTTTATTGAATGCAAGTTTATAACGATTTCTGAAGCTTTCTAACTGAAAACTTCTGCCTTGGTTTAGTACAAATTTAGCTAAATGAGAGACAGTCAATACTAATAGAAACTAATCAATTCATAATTTTCTATAGTTTTAGAATATCTGTATTATACTATCAGCCTTGACACAGAATTTCTTTTAGATAATTACAATTGTATTTGACCATTACTACCAATTAGTAACTTATAGAATTGTGAAAATATTGTCAACTAAAATTGACATTTTAGAAACAAAGCAAAGAGATTCTTGTCAAATCAATCCATTTATTACACTACTTTAGTACATACAATGCTAACACAAAATTCTGACAAACAATAATATCTAAGCTTGACATTTACAGCTTTACAATTAGTTGACATTTGACCTAAACAGTTAAGACGCCAGCTCTCTTTAAAAAAAAAAAAAAAAAAAAAAAAAAAAAACCTTTTTTTAAATGTTGGAGTTATTTTTAAATTAATCAAACTATTGCAATTTATTCATGACATAGTAAATCATAAAGACATTTCACAACAGTTAAAAATTGACTTAAGTATTTCACTTTTTGAAGCCATCAACATGTTAAGAAGGATTAAAACTAATTTCTAAATATCTGAAATCTCAACAGTTAATGAAGTAATACAAACAGGAATAAACTGAACAAGTTCTTTGAAAAAGAATATATCCCATCAGTATTATTGGATTCACATGAAAATATAGCTATATCTTATCTTCTGATAAATCTTTAATTGGGTTATATAAAAACAAAACTTATTGTTCTACTTATAGTTCAAAGCTATTGAAGGTTCTTTAATTTGATAGTTGGTCTCAGGCCTAAAAGCTAAGTTCTAAATGCCTAGAAGTACAATTAAAATGAATGTATGAGCACACAAGAAGTCTAAGAAAAACTGTACAATACATGACAATAAAATACCTAACCCTAACCCTAACAACAATCCTAGGTAAATGAAGACAATTTTTGTGGTACTGCTTACCAATATTACTAAAGTACATTTGTGTATATTCCAAAAATTATATAAGACATACTAAAACAAAACTGTATTTCTCTAATTCATTAAATCAGAATGTTTAATTATTAAAATTATAATTTTAAACACAAAATTTAATTTATTTCTGTGATACAATAACATCATAGAAGTTTATTTTTAAAATATACAGTTAATAAATTTCTAGTAAATGGCAATAAATTATTGCACATGCACAAAAAAAAAGCTTAAGGCAAAAAAAAACAAAACAAAAATATAATGATAAATGCACTAACTTCACGTTACAACAGAATCCTCATGAAAAACACACAATAAAAATCATTTAATATTTATTTGTAAATCACTAATACTCTTAGATGTACTTGGATTATTAGCGACACTGTCAAATGTTTTCCAACTTTTGAAAAAAAAAAGGTCAAAAGGTACAGAGAAAATATATAATCCATATATTTCTATTTCTATCCAACTCACTAAGTCCTTTATTTACAAAATGTACATAGATCAATATGTTTATAAATTACATTTATTCCACTAGTCAAAATAAACTTTTAACTATTGTATCATAACAATAACTTGATTCCAATGGTTTTATTCTAGTATGTTTAAAAGAAAAAAAGAAACGATTTCTGACAACAATTTAAAAGAAAAATCAGCAGCAACTTGTACTGAGACAAAGACATACAATAGATTTTTAAAAATTAATTTTAGAATTATGCACAAACCTGGAAAAGAAATAATGACAAAAAACAAAAGGTTAATATTAAGTGTAAAAATGGCATGGGTAAATTATGTACACAAATGATAGTTAAAAAAAAATAAAAATAAGATCTAAGGGCATCTTAAGGAAACATTTCATTTACCAGTTTCCTCCCTCCTTAACATTATCACTCAATAAAAGAGTAATAAAAACTCTTTCTATATTACTTCATAATAAAGTTTAAATTAAAATCAAACTAAACATTATGACTCATAGTGAACAGATAAGTTTGTATACTGTTTCAAAGGAGAGAAATTCAAACAGGGCTCTCTAAGGATGGAGTCAGTGGTGATATCCCATGCTTCTTTTCTCGATGTTTCCGCATCTTCCACCTGCATGTTCCACGCCACTCACACAGATCACAAAAAAACATTTCACCAGTGTGTTTCCTCATATGTCGGTGAACATTTTTTCTGTGGATTATCAGTAAGCCACAGATTGGACAATTGTAGCTGCGAATGGGCCGTCCTCCATACAACTGTGTGCCCACAGGGGCTATGACAAAATGCTGTGACCAGGCTGGCTTAACATCAATATTGCCAAGAGTGGAGGAATCTGCAACAATAAGAAAGCTTGTTTATGCCCAATTTCAGAAGACATGAAATGGTGGGAAAAGAAGATCAATAAGAAACCACAAAGAGTTTTTCTTTCCATTTAAAATGTGATTCTAAAATTTAAAAAAAAATTGTTTACAATGGAAGTTTGCCTAAACTAAGGACTTTAAATTGAGCAACAATTACAAGCTTTCTTATTTAATAGTTTGTTGGGTTAACATTTCTGTACTGAAAGATAACTAAATGTTTGGCATTGATTGTTAACTAGCATTCAAGGGATTTATTTTTTTATCTTCTTCTTGAGTCAGGTCTTCACTTTGGTTGGGCTCATGAGAGAAAAAGAAATGCTTGGATTCTAAATGTTTCTGAAGTTGCCAACGGCAAGTTTGAGTAGAATCACAGAAGGAACATTGAAAAACGTCACCATTATGCCGGCGCATGTGTCTTTTTATGTTGTTCTTGTGTCGAATGACAATGCCGCATACCGGGCATCTGAAATATTTGATAGGTACACCTGGAACTTGAAAATTGTGATGCTCCTTGCCACTTTCCACTACCTCCAATTTACCTGCAATCAAAGAATTGGTCAACTGTCACTACTAAAAGTTTTCTGCTCAACCATCTGTGTCTGGATTGTGTTGGAGAAAAGACTTTGACATAATATCAAAACAATTTCTATCAACAGGTTAAGAATCTTATAAAAAAAACAACATACTGAACACAAAAAAGAAATGGACAAAGATATGTTTTGTACCTATGCTAAACTCAACAATTACAATACCATTTTCATTTTAACAAATTATAAATTAGACCATTATTTTTTTCCTTTTGCAATATTACAAGATAATAAAACATCAATAAATAAACTTTGCATTTCAAGACAATAATTGGAATTCAATCACATATATACACAAGTCATCAGTCTTAACTAGCAATAAAAACAAAAAACTTATTCAATGTCCCTGTCTCCAACACTGCTCTATTTACATAGAGGGGATTTCTTACTCGGGATAAAACATATGAAGACTGTGCATACAATAGTCTTAAAATAAATGAGATAAAATTCTAAAGTGTAAATGGCAAAACATATATATATATATTATAAATTTATAATGATAAATTCAACAATGGTATCACAAGGTGGTAATTAAAAAAAAATTACTCTATTCAAAATGCAAATTAAATAACAAGATTGTAAACACTTAGTCAAATAGTGTGTTATGTTCTAGATCATCAAATAAATAGTTGTAACAAAAAACATTACCAAGTTAGTTTTCAGCTCCATACATTTTATAAAAAAAAAGGACTTTAAAATTCCCCAGCTGTAGTATACCCATTATGATTTCATGTTTGTATCAAATACACCAAATTAGTGGGTATAAAGGAGGAATACCATTTGTGGAGGAATCAATTTGGATAACAAAAATACATTAAATTAAAATCAACTGACTATTTTTAGTCATTTTTTAATTCATTTAGAATTATCCTAATTTTTTTTTCTAAATACATGCTCTATAAATAACTTTATAAAAGTTTATACTTGGAAGTGAAAAATAAATACTAGCATCTGATTGGCACTCCTGTAAATTTGAGTTCAACTCTATTGTTTAATTTGAATGGACTAAATAGGGAAAAAGTCCTCATATATTTCATATCATATATTTCAGGAACTTTTTTTTTATTCTGTTCAAATTGTACAAATTTAGTCCATACTACTTCTATCAAAAGAATTCTTCAATAATTGTGAACACTTTTCTTTGTAAACAATAAAACACAACCTTTTCTTTTTTTAAAATATATATCACAATTACTAGGTAGTTGGGCATGGCTTCTCAGAAAGTTTTATGTTCATTCATCAATACTGTAAGTCAATGATATGTAAAAATTTTTTTTATATAATAGACTATGTATATTCTTTTGAGAACTACTTCCAGAGTCCTCTATTAACACAGGAAACTATTAATGTGCAATATAACAATTATTTAACAAAAATAAAATTAGTTTATTTCAGAAAAAAAAATCTGACATTATAAGATGCTAAAATGAAATTTACATTATGAAGAGTTCAAATTTCAATTAAAAAAAATGACTAACATTGTTTACAAAAAAAAATTGTTTGCTTTAACAACAAAACTTTTGTGTTTTTTTTTTAATTTCTCAACAAGATATATGTTATTTTGATACATGCTGCTAGGCTTAGACATTTCTCATATCCACATGCTTTGTGACCATAATTTGTCATTCTTACTTCAAACCCATCAAAATTCTATAAACTGTACACAATTCAATCTTGTCTTTCTGGTATAAACAATAAAATATTCAAATCTGATCTGAGGCTTGTTATTGCAGAAAGTATTTCTTTTGGAATCATAAGAAAAAAATGCAGCAGTTTAAAAAATAAATTCTAATCAGAGTTATTGTGCCTCGTTTTATCACAGAATATCCAAAAATTGTTGGTATTGAACAAAAGAATTAAATAGCAACTTTACTGTTACGTTAAAAATATACAAATACTATTGATATGCGTTTAACAGTCAATACGTCTTGGAAGACAAATCTATAACAAATGACTAAACAATGTTCGCAAATATCACCACCAATGTGTATACGTTCAAAGACAAAAAACATTGAAAAAAAAAAGATTCTTGTTCTTGAATATATTTTAAAATTATGAACCAGAATGTTTCAAAACTGAGTCCTCCAAGGTGGCAGTTTTTTAATAGTTTATTTACATTAGTTTGGAATGCAACATTTCCTTAAAATAATTATCAACTCAGATCTGACTTGGCATTCAAAGTGAAATGTCTTTGATTACATTGTATAAATATGAAACTACATAAATAAATTAACCTTAAGATGTCAGTCATTTCAAACACAAACCAGATAACCACAAGTCAAGATATAAAATACACTCAACATTTTGGTGACAGTTTTATTTGTTCTTATTTCTCCTTCACTTGTTCATCATTTACTAGTGATTGTTTGACTAATGGTTTATTAGAGAAAATATCTTTCTCTTTTTCTAAATCAGATCCATCTTCTGTGTCTGCTTGACTGGTTTGCTGTATTTCTGTGACAGATGTTTTTGCCTCTTCATTATTCTTTGATAAACTTTGGTGTTTAGTTTCT